GTGTGTGTGTGTGTGTGTGTGTGTGTGTGTGTGTGTGTGTGTGTGTGATAATTTGAAGAGGAAGTGGACACTGTCAACTGAGAGGTTCAGAAATGGTCTTGAAGGAAGCCAGGATTTCTAAGAGGAGAGAAAACATTCTAGGTATGAGGGGAAAAAAATCTGTGCAAAGGTATGTAGGTGGGAGATGGGCATGCCAGGTTCTTTATCTATAAAATGGGGATAACTACTTGACCTTCCTATTTCACTGAGTGGTTGTAAGGAAAGCACGTGTGGGTCATAAATTGCATTAGCAACATGAGCTATCATTATTTCTTGAATATCTCTTCTGTGCAAGGTACTGAACGTGAGAGAAATCCCATGGGGCCAAAGCGTGTGGTGGGTGGCCAGAGCATTAGCTTAGGAGTTCAGAGATTTGACTTTTACTGTCACTTACTGGACCAAATCATTTTATTTCTCTGAGACTCAATACAATTCAACTAACATCACAAGCAACTTGTTGCGCTGGGAGGCATTGTGGAGGTTAGGAAGACAAAATTAAAAAGACAGTCCTCTCCCTTTCAGAAGCATCTGTTCTATTGGGTAATAAATGTTTGTTGAATTGAACTGAATTGTTAAGAGGTCTTAAAACACCGTATACAGTTCTGTTAACTACATGGAAGGCTTTCTTATCCTTCACTTTTAGAGACCAGTCAGTAACCCTTGAGAAGGGCCATCTTCATCAAGCACAGTGAACAAAGCGTCTTTTGGTGCTGGCTTTTAAATTCTTACCCTTGACTTGTTGGAGATGAAGGTCAATGAGAATTATCTTTAAAATACACCGTTGGAGGCAGCTAGGTGGCACAGTGGATAGAGCCCTGGCCTTGAAGTCAGGAGGACCTGAGTTCAAATCCAGCCTCAGACCAAACACTTGACACTAGCTGTGTGACCCTGGGCAAGTCACTTAACCCCAATTGCCTAAAAAAAAAAAAATACACCGTTGGAAGTTGTGGGATCACTCTGTTGTGGGATTGCACCTGTGTTTGCCTGTAAAGTGAGGATGCTGGAAGGGCCTTCTTAAGGCATCATTGCTGCCCTTCACAATAGCGGGAATTAATAGAAGTCAGTGAATCATAGATTTATTAAAGCTGGAATTGGGGCTCTTAAATGCTGTCAATCTCAACCCTTTTATTTTTACAGAAAAGGAAACTGATACCCAGAGAACAGAATGATCTGAGTAAGAGGCAGTGTGGTCTGATGGAAAGAGGCAGAAGAAAGACTTTAGGCAAGTCACTTAGGACCATAGGTTTTGAGTTGGAAGGGAACTCCCATGTCACTTGATTCATCTTCCACATTTTACATTTGAGGAAACTGAGGCCAGAGAAGTGACCAAGGTCAGCCAGGTAGTAACAGTCTGAATTTGAACCCAGATCCTCTGACTCCAGCACAGTATTTATCTTCTATGCCTCAATTTCCTTGGCCATAAAATAAGGATGATAATACCTAGTATATTTCTGTTACAGGGTTATCGCCAGGAGCAAATGAGAAAATATTTGTAAAAGGTTCTGTATAAATGTCAGCTTTTAGTGGCAAAGTTAGGAGTAGAATCCAAGTTTGTAAGTTCAGTGCTTTTTGGTTTTTTTCACCAGATCGCCTTATCATCAATTAAAAATATTCAGTGATTTCTGTGTGCAAGGTAGTGATCCCCTGGGGTTCGTTAGGCAGTATTGGATTTGGAGTCAAATGATATATGGAAAAAATCCTTCTAAACTGCCCGTTATTATTATACAGACGTTAAAGGAATTAGGAGCATTTAACCGGGGAAGAGAAGACTGGGGGTGGGTGCACTGACAAGTGTTTGAAAGTTCATCTCACAGAACGGAGATTAGTCTTGTTGTCTTTGTCCCCAGAAGGCTGAACTAGGGGTATGGGGGGGAAGACGCAAAACCCATTTGAGGATTGATGCTGGGAGGAACGTCCTGTGAGGGCTGTCTGAAAGCAGATTAGACTGGGGGGCGGGGTTGGGGGGGGGAGGCAGTATTCAGGTATGGATTAGGCTACGTAGCCTGGAACAACGTTTCCAGCTCTAAGAAGGTGTAATTCTGGGAGCCAGGGCCGGGCACAGAAATGCACTGGAAGCAGTACCACCAAGTGTTCACGTCCAGGAAAGTGTCAAAAGGCCTGGAGGCTGAGGAAAGGGTAGACTAAGCAAAGAGAAGCCACCAGGCGCGTGGGTGGGTGGGGCTTTGGGGGGAGGGGGTTATTGTTAAACAGGGCATCCAGCCTTCCAGCCCCTGACATCACGGGCGTCAAAGCTCTCCCTGCACCCTGCCCCAGCGCTGGGACCGCTCGAGCCAAGGAAGCTGAAGGGGGCCGGAAGTGGCGGGCGGGGCCATATAGGTCACTGCCCCACCCAGCCGATCGGATCTCGGGGGCTGGGATGTCGGGTCGCCTCCCCTCCCGAGGTCGGGAGGCAGTTCCGTCGGCCCCCTCCTCGCGTGCTCCAGGGGCCTGAGCAATTCCTCAGTTTCCCCGAATTGGCCACCAGGTCTCCCCTCCCGGGTGCAAGAGCTTAATTAAGCAAGCTGGGCTGCGGGAGGAGCCGTCCCAGGGGCCACTTCCCCCCTCCCCGGCCCCCGCCTCCTCCCGCGTGACCCTCCCAACCCCCCCCCCCCCAGCACACATATCCCTCCTCCAGGGCACACCCTCGATCCGCGGCGCGAGCCCGTGCTCCGGGGCAGTGGAGACGGGGGAGGGGGCGGAGGAGACGAGGCGGGGGAGGAGGGAGGAGCAGTGGGCGGAGCCAGCTCGAGGCGGGAGGCCGGCGTGGGAGGAGGAGGAGGGCGAGGAGGGCGGCGGCAGAGGCTCAGGCTGAGGCTGAGGCTGAGGCTGAGGCGGCGGCGGCGCCGGGGGCAGCGGAGGCTGCAGCCTGCCCGCCCTGTCCCTAGACGAAGCGAGCCGCGCTGGGCCGAGGCGTGCCGCCATGGCCGAAGTGCGCAAGTTCACCAAGCGTCTCAGCAAGCCGGGCACGGCGGCGGAGCTGCGGCAGAGCGTGTCCGAGGCGGTGCGGGGCTCCGTGGTGCTGGTGAGGCCGGGGTCGGGGCTGGGGCCGGGCCAAGCGCGCACTGACTGCCGCCCGACGGCCGGCGTCCGAGGCAGGCCGCGGGTTGACAGCTCGAGCGCGGGGCGGGGCGGGGCGGGGCGGGGAGGTCGGGGGTGGGGGCGGGGGCGCGAGGCTCGGGGTGCGGGATCGCTCTCCCCTTCCCTCTTCTGTCCCTCCCTCCCTCTTCTCTCCCTCCCTCCCTCCCTCCCTCTTCTGTCCCTCCCTCCCTCCCTCTTCTGTCCCTCCCTCCCTCCCTCTTCTCTCCCTCCCCTCTCCCGCCCTCCCTCCATCCCCTCTGCCCCGGGTCAGCACCTGAGCCAGTGCCCGAGGCAGCAGCAGGAAGGATGCGCGAGGCGCGCGCGCATGCGCACAGCGGGCCCGCACAGCCGCGGCGCACAAGAAAAGAGCCCCCCCCCACCCCCCCCCCCCCCGGCTGGGCGCGGTGACAGAGGAAGCGCTGCGACTTCCTCTTGCGGACGCCCGGGCGAGACCCAGGGGAGGCGGCGGCGGCCCGGGGTGGGCTCCGGCCGCGCCCCCGGCCGGTGCCACCTTCCCCTCGGCCCCGGGTGTTCCGGGCGCTGGCCGCGGGCTTCCTGCTCGAGCCTTCGAAAGGCGAGCGAGTAGCCGGCCCGATGCTTGTTCGTTTCTCTGGTCACTCTGTGGCCCCTTCCCCGGTAATGCCAGTTAGCGTGGGTGGGCTGGGTCTCTTTACGTTTGCCTGTGCTTGAGGCCAGCCAGCCTCACGGCTTTTCCTGATAATTGTCACGATGGCCCGGGAAGATCTGGCAACAGAGCCAACATTAAAGGGAACCCCAGAGCCTGGTGAACCCACACGAGAGCAGGAGAAGTTGACATTAGCGGGAGCTCTGGAAGAAGATCAGAGGTTGCTTGTGTACCTTTGAGATAACGATCTGAGCCCCACGAGCTACAACAGTGCAGAGCCCGAGACTTTAAAAGACATTCTATCTTGGCTGGACTCTTGAAAGTTGAATGGGGCAGCTTACTCGTGCTTTCATATCCTTTTAATGGGGTTGTGAATATCATCCTCGTTTTGTTTCGTTCTTGTCCTACTCCAAGCCTATTGGAAGGCAACTCTGGCCCTTAGTTTCCATAACTGATGCTTAATATATGAAGGTAAACCGTTTGCATGACATAGTACCTGTGTACCCATAGTACCTTTGGCCTTAGTACCATCAGCTGAAGTACCTAACAAATTTGTCTGGTCACCTCTAACATTGGGGAGACTCCCGGGAGCAGGCAGAAAGGGAATGGTCTTGTGTGGTAGTTGGTGATGGCAGTCAGAAGGTTCCCATGAGGTTAGATGGGGCTACCAGATTTTTTTCCTCTGATTTCAACAACAAGTGAACTTCAGTCTTAAGAGGTAGAAAGTTAATCTATTAACATTCTTGGCCAGACTTTGGAGTTTTGAAAATAATTAAATGATTGTCTAGATTTTTTTAGAGGACCAAGTTTTATTTGAGTAATTTAGAGGAATTCATTTCCTCAGCACAGTTACTATTTACTTGCTCTGTACAGAGCTCTGTTCTAGATATTGGAGGAAAGTTTATAGAAGACAGGGTCTCTGGCTTCATGGAGCTTATGGTCTAGTTGGGGGGTTGGACACAAACACAAATTACTGCTTGAGTGATCTTGTCCAAGAGTCCAACATCCATAAGCAAGCTAGACGCTGTGAGAAGCACCGAGGATACAAAGAAAGGCAAAAAACACTCCTTGCCCTCAATGATCATACATTCTAATAAAGGAAACAACATGTAAATAACTAGGTACAAGCAAGATCTCTATCGAGTAGAAGATGGGTCATCTGAAAGGGCAAGGCTTTAGCATCTGGGGGGACCTGGAAAGCCCTCCTGCAAAAGGGTAGTATTTGAGCTGAGTCTTGAGAGAAGCCAGTAGGAAGGTGAGGGGCAGAGCATTCCAGGCATGGGGACAGCGAGTGCAAAGGCCCCCCAAGACGAGATGGAGTGTTATATTTGAGGAGCTGCCAGGAGGACAGTCTAGTTGGATCCTGTAGCTGGAGAGTTCCTGTCGAGGAGTAAGGTGTAAGGAGATGGGAAAGGTAGGAAGGGGGCAAGTTATGAAGAGCTTCAGATGCCAGAGGACAAGCCACTTCCTCTCTCCGAACCTCAGTGTTCAAACGTCTACAATAAGGAAGTAGGGCTAGATGATCTCTAAGGCCCCTTCTAACTCTGAATCTATGATGTCACGAGTATTCCTGTTTAGAACTTAGTATTCAAAGAAGGATCAGTTATTTAATCAGGAAAGAGAATCAGGAAAGCTAGGGTCTCTAAAGTCAAGGGTAGGGAGAATCTCCAATCAACGGTTCCACAAGCAACACAGAGGACAAGGAGAAGAAGGCTGACAAAAGGTCATTGGATTTAATGATTAAGAGATCACAGATGCCCTTTAAGAGGGTAGCTTCAGCCGAATGGTCAGAGAAGCCAGATTTGCAAGGGGTTGAGGAGGGAATGAGTGGTGATAAAGTTTAGCAGTGAAAATGAGAGGTGAGATGGTAGTTATAGGTGGTAGAGGAGTCCAGGGGAGGGCTTCTTACAAAGTATTTTAAAGGATTGGGAAGATGATGCATTTAAGAGAGGGAATAACTTCTAGAGTAAGGTTCTGGAGGAGGAAAAGAGAGTGATGGAGGGCACAAATAGAAGGATTAGCCTTAGTGAAGAGGCCTGGAGAATGGATTAAGGAAGCTCATGGCAGATGAAGTAGGAGTCTAGGTCACTTGTGGTGAGAGTGAAGTTTGGGGTCAGAAGAGAAGAGAAAAGGTTTGAGACAGATACTGTGGGGAATAAAATGAGGAAAAAGATTATACAGCAGTGGCAAGATTTCAGTTTAAATTATGCATCATAAATTAGTAGCTGGTGAAAAGAGCTCAAGAGCTCTGGAACAGAATCAGTGAATTTGGATGGTGGAATTCCCCATGGGTCAACAGTTGAAGATTGGGATTGTCATGGGAGTAGGGTGGGAAGATGACAAGGGATTTTAGGGTAATAGTTTGTGACTCATTAAAGTAGACCATGGAACCGAGGCTGGATCTGGAGATAAGTGAAACTAGAGTGCAGAGATGTTTGGGGGATATGTCATTATGTGAAGTTTAGTTTTGTTTAGTGTTGGTGGTATGGCAGGAAGTTGTTGGAGAATGGAATTTCTATTTAAATAACTCGATATCAGAAAAATAAATTCAACAGGCCACAACTTAGCTCCCAAAGGGAAAAAAAGACTCCAAGACCAGATGGATTTACAAGCGAATTCTATCAAACATTTAAAGGGTTATTAATTCCACTGTTACATCAACTGTTGTCAAAAATAGGAAAAGAAGGGACCCTTCCAGATTCTGTGATGCAAATATGGTTTTGATGCCTATACCAGAGACAAAGCAGAGAAAGAAAACTATCGACCAGTCTTCTTAACGAACATTGACACAAAAATTCAAACAAAATATTAGCAAATAGAGAATGAAATTTCAAAATTCTTGATCTTGGAGGTGGGACAATGGATAATAATCATTAGAGTGTGATCCACATATAAATGTTAGGAAAACTGAAGAGTTTAATAACACAATTGCAGTCAGTCAACAGATATGTATGAAGTACCTACCAAGTGCCAGACGGTTTTAGGTACTTCATTTGAAAGTAACTGGACATTTTTCTTCATTGCATCTTGATATGTCCAGTTAGGGTTGATCTTTGTTTGAAAGCGTTTGTCACTGGCACATTCAGCGTATACAGACTGCTCCATTTCAGTCTAGCCTTAAGCTGAGATTTCAGAGCAATCAAGGAAATGTCTTTGATTGTGTTGCTTAGTGAGGTCAAAGTGTGAGAACCTAGTGGCTTTTTGTCTCATGATGCCTCTTCTTTTGCCACAAGAAGCAATCAGTAATGCTACCTCCGCAGGAAAATAGTGTTGCAAATATTATATTATTATAAACTCCACAGTATGATCTGCCGTACTGGTGATAGCAGTTATTTGGGGTAACTGTGTCACAAGGGCTGCAGATTGGGTACTAGATAGTCATGTCCCCAATTCTGGGTTTTAGCCATTGGGTTCCAGTTTGTAATACTAAATTAGAAGGGGATGTGCAATAGAAAGCAATCTCCCACAGAAAGATGAACTGTAGTGAATACCAAAGTGCTTTACAGATACAGGAATTCAGTTATATTGCACCCAAAATCCTATTTCCCATTAATAGCCTCTCACATTTCTGTAGTGTTTTGCACCTAGTAGATGGAAGCAGGAATTACTTAAGTAGCCGGCTTGAGTTCTTTCCATTTGTGAGGGAGTTCCACCCAGGGTACTATTCTACACTTTCAAGAATAGATGGGTCCTCGGAGAAGCCGGAGGACCATGGAAACAGGAGGGGGAGTTAGCTTAACTATCTGGGGACTTAGGTAGAAATCCTTTGCATGTTCTATAGGGATATAAATAAAACTTGCCTTTACAGTGTATTTGATTCCTTGTTAGTTTTAATACTTTCATAGGACCTACTGATTTGTCTTCCACAAGCCCATTTTTTGGGGGGACACAAGCCAAATTCTGATGTTCCCAGGAGAAAGCTTTGGTAGAAGCAAAAACCATAGAAATTTGCATGAGAAGCTCCCAAGTTTGAACCTGGTCTTTGTGAGCTTAGAGCTGTGGTAATGGGCCACAGATTACATTTTGAGAGGTACTGGAAGGAACGTAGGATTTGGAGACAGTAAAGGCTTTGGTCTGAATTCTAGCTCTAATGCCATAATTTTGGGCAAGTCAGCTTCCCTGTGCCTGTCCCTGTATCTCTAAGATGAAGATAATACTACTCTTACTACCTACTCCAGTGGGTTATTGTAAGGAAAGAAGTACAAACTTGCATCGTTTATTATTATTATCCAAGTCCAGGGCTCTTTCCTGGTGTGGTGTACTGCCTCCTGTGTGGTATTTTCCTTATTGCAACCCCAAACCTGCAATATTATGTCACA